CCCATTGAGCATCTCTGGAGAGACCTGAAAATGGCTGTCCACCAACGTTTACCATCCAACCTGACAGAACTGGAGAGGATCTGCAAGGAGGAATGGCAGAGGATCCCCAAATGCAGGTGTGAAAAACTTGTTGCATCATTCCCAAAAAGACTCATGGCTGTATTAGCTCAACAGGGTGCTTCTACTAAATACTGAGCAAAGGGTCTGAATACTTATGACCATGTGATATTTCAGTTTTTCTTTTTTAATAAATCTGCAAAAATGTCAAAAATTCTGTGTTTTTCTGTCAATATGGGGTGCTGTGTGTACATTAATGAGGAAAAAAAATGAACTTAAATGATTTTAGCATATGGCTGCAATATAACAAAGGGTGAAAAATTTAAGGGGGTCTGAATACTTTCCGTACCCACTGTACCTCATTAGATCTGGCAGAGGTTGAGCGACGTATACATGCGTCTACATATAATCACCTATCTCTGGATGTCTTCTATGAATATGTGTGTGCAAGTCGAGATGTGTAAGTGAAAGGAGACTTAATCCTTTTGTGTAAAGGCAAACAAAACTAAACACTGCATTACATACTACATTATGTTTTATAGACAGAACATGCTTAACTTTCTACATTTGGGTTATCATCAGTCTTATTTTATGATAGAATATTTGCTTTTCATTAATAAATCTTTACATTTCAAGATTTGTCACTGACATACAAAATATGTTGCAAGATTGAGAGAGGTTCTACAGAAAAGAGTCCAAACAGCACAATACCTTGATGTAGTGTTCTAGCTGTGGGTAGACTCTCCTCACACTCAAGAGCATAGAGAAAAATGTCCTATTGGGGAAAGAGGCAGTGACCACGTGTGTGACTTCGGGAAAGGAGAAAATATTGAAGCCCAGTGTCTCATAGCGCTTTAGAAGCTCCTCATCTGGCTCGGTCTCTCCTTCGCTCAGAATACTGCCGACAACACAGCGACACTGTAGTTCTGGCACCTGGAAACAAGGACCAAATTAACAAATAAAGCTCAAATCAAATATAAATGAGAAATAATTGATAAATTGATGCTTTTAAGTAGAATCTGAATCAGCTTTATTGGCCAGGTTTGTTGGACACACAAGGAATTTGACTCTGGTACATCGGCTCTCATTGTGTATGTACTGTACATATCCCCATGCAAGGGGCAAGTAAACAGTAAACCAGTATAAGGCTGTGTGATATAACAAAATCAGCAGTATTAACAAGCAACAAACAGTCCAAACAATGCAAAATAAGCAGAATAAAAAGGCAGTAATCAATGCAGACAGACAAGGAATGCTCATTGTGAAATGGGATTAATAGGAATAAAAATAGAGTACTTAAAAATAGAGACGTGTACGAGTCTGTATAATCTGTATGAGGTATATTTACAGGTATTGCACTGAGGGTTATTGTCCAGTCATACTGTCGTTGATTAAGTGTTCATCAGAGCGACAGTCTGGGGGAAGAAACTGTCCCTGTGCCTGGTTGTCTTGGCGCACAGTGACCTGTAACGCTGTCCAGAGGGGAGGAGTTCAAACAGGTTGTGTCCAGGGTGTGAGGGGTCTGCAGTGATCCTCTCCGCCCTCCTTTTGACCTGTGAGGTGTACAGGTCCTCCATGGAGGGCAGGCTCCCACCAATGACCTTTTCTGTAGTCCTCACTGTCCGCTGAAGTCTGTACTTGTCCTGTTTGGTTGCTGAGCCAAACCAGACAGTGATGGAGGTGCAGAGAACAGACTCAATGATTCCTCTGTAGAACTGTATCAGCAGCTCCTGAGGCAGGTCGAACTTCCTGAGCTGGCGCAGGAAGTACATCTGAGTACAGCTGACTCGTCGCCATCTCGGATGAGACCACTGACCGTTGTGTCATCTGCAAACTTTAGGAGCTTCTAAAGGAGAACTTTAGAAAGTGCTAAGTGCCTATTTCCAAACAATTCCTAATTGTACTTTTTTAGTACAGAAACTCAGCATTTCCTAAGTACCTGTTTCTAAAGACTGATCTGAGTAATGTAAGTAATGTAATGTAAATGACAATTTTATGAGTAATGCATAACACATTAAAAACAACAATAAATTGGGCATTAGCAGAAAAAGTTATCTCCTGTGATGTCAGCCAGATGCAAATGATAAAGAGAAAATATGCTCATTAATAGGAGCTCTAGTCGGAGCATTTGGCAGCACAGCAATTACTGCTCCGTCCTCCATTCTGGTGTCCATGAAAAAAGACGAACGGGGAGACACTCTTTACAAATGAATACTCCTAAGACATCCAAGACTTCTTCCCCACCGTGCTGAGCTGAGCACCACTGAAGGCTCATGTAATAAATAAGCTGGTCCAATTTGTTCAGTGCTGCGCTTCAAACATAGCCAACATGGCTGATGATGCCTATTTGCTCCTCTTCTCCTCAACACGCAAAGCCAGCACTAGAAGTCAGCATGTACTGCAGACTAGACTAATTCTTCACAACTTCTTGAAACACAGAGAAACCGCAAAAAGTGACAAATCTGCATATATCTCTGACCTAAGCTTTGTTTTGTGTTGGCTGATAAAAATATATTAGTACAGACATATAGTATTATTATATGCATGTAGAGTGGTAGTCAATGTAAATCTTACGGTACATTATAACCATTGTAATTTTGTGAATTTTATTCATTTGAGAATTCTATTTTATCATGCATTTCTCAGTCATATTATATTTTGAAAGAAGCAGCTTTATCTCACCTTGCATGATAGTTTCACCTTCTGGGTTTTAAGAAAAGATACAAGAATATACTGATAAGACTTTTTTCTATGAACCATCAGCTTCCAGCTCCATTCTGTAGGAGTCAGGTTGTGAGGAAATAAACTCAAAATTCATTTTTACTTAGGACAAACTTAAGCTTATGCTACATGCATTATTATTACTCTGATGTATGCAAAAGCATTCTGGATGCTGATATTGCCCCGTTATGATAGCACTGTTGTCAAGCATGAAGCAATGGACTCAGCATTAGTGTTCATTCAGGCTTGTATACATAACAAATGAGGTGTCATCCCTCGGATCATTAAGAGTTAAACCACACCAAGCAGGGTACCAAAATGGATATGAAAAGGAAGATCCAATAAAGAGAGATGCTCTCCATCAAATGCTCATAATCCCTAAATTAACATCTACACACAACTCCAAAATAATAATAGAGGCTGCTACAGAAGAGTCAGGTTTTCAGTGAAGCTGGCACAACAGAATACTCTGCTAAATTACAAATAATTATATACAGGCCTGTTTTTTTTTTTATATTGGTTATATATGGCATGGGCTGGGAACCTTTTCACACAAGAAGTTTTTTGCTAATTTGGATGTCTTGGGGGCTCACAATAGCAAGTCTAAGCAAAGTGGGTTTATTAATCATCACACGACTCCAAGTAACAAGACTCCAGGACACAGAACCACTGCCAAAAGCACAGGCGTCTGTCCAGTCTTTGTTTTGCATCTCTGCACTAATCAATACACAAGTGTGCTGTCTTTTGAGGTTTTCTTCAGTACACTGACAGCGTGTCTGAACCACAAAGTTCTGAAATTCAAATCAAGAAATCATGTCTTTGTGTCTCTACAGCAGACCGTCTGAACTGGCTTTAGTAAGGCAACAGGGATAGAAGTGCAAACTATCTTCACAAGCATGCAAAGAATTTTCCATCCATGCTCAGATTCAGTAGGGCTTACTGTACATCCTCTGTGTTTTTCTGTGACCTTCCAAGATGGCTAGTATTGGTGAGTTTTTCTACAATTTCACCATTCACCACAAAGACCAACATTCCGACTAGGGCATTTCCTGATCAGCCCTCCCTGGCTGTCATGCCCACAGCTTTCATCATATTATGATCCATACGCACATCCCTGAAGATGAGGGGAAACATGTCATTTCATCACTATTCCACTTGTTAAGCAGTTTTTTAGATCTTCCATGTCTCAAGGTCTGCGAACCCAGGCCCTGGTCCCTTACTTGGAATATCAAGTTTGATCTACCCCTGATACCTCCCTCTGACATGTACTGCACACAGAAGGGGAGCAGAGAAGAAGAAGAAAGCTGCAGGGTAGAGGTGAAGTGGGCACACTGGGTCAGAGAAACCTCCTGGGTTTGAAACTATGAAGAGGCTGGTGAAGGAGAAGGGTTTGGTCCGTGGGACTCTAAAATGTGTATTAGTCATTTGAAGAAAAAGATAAAGCTGCTCCCCCCACGTATCCATGACAACCATCTCAGGACTGACTCGAGTCCTTGTTGAGGTCTTTTGTTTCTCCAGAGGAAGTGATTAAAGGAGGTAAAGTGAGAAAACAGAGAACAGAGGATGAGAGTAGCCATGCTGACACTTATCCTCTGTCAGCTGCACTTTCTAAAATCCTTCTCACTGCAAATATCAATGGACAGTGTCTGACTCTTTAGCCACCAAATACCAGTGTTCCTATCTGAGAGGGCTCTGTGGGGCTCCTGACACAAGGACTGAATGGCACCTTGAGGCTTAGACACTAATGAGCTGAGATCATTACACCAATTATTTTAACTTAGATCAGGACTTGGCTGTGACTGTGCAGAGGAACTAGGACCCACTGCTTGCCTAATTGCCGGCTTGGGAAAAAGGGAATGCACATAACAAAAGGGTTTTGAAGCAGAGCTGGGAGGAGTCCATCACTGAATTTTGGTTACATTCCTTCAGGGTGATGTGCAACAGCAATGCCACCTGAGTCAATACTTGAAAATGTGTTCTGCAAATGGTAGATATCAGCACATTTCAGAGGTGGAGAATTACTGCAAATATTAGAGTTGAGTGATACTGACATAGGCAATATTGCAGTACAATTGACTCTGTATTTCAGTATTGATAGTTTGACAAAATTTTACAAAATGTATGCTTCCAGAATATTTCTTCTGGCTATGTAACATAGGAATAAAGAATGACTAATAATGGACAAAAAAGACACTGACTGATCATTTCACTCAGTTGGGTTAATCATCTGAAACTTTGTTCAACAGATAAATGGTGCAATTATACTACTGATTATTCTTTTTTGAGTATTTATTTAGTCTATAAAATGACAATAATTGTTTTTTTAAGTACAAAACTGAAGAAAATATGTTCACAGTGAAATAAAACGAAAAAATCAGCAAATTGCATGAATCAACATTTTAGACACTGTCTGATAAATCAAGTGAAAATGGGGCAGGATGTGGTGTCTCTCTGCTATACTAACTACCTCCATGACACTTTACTGCCCACAGCTCTTCTGTTGTTACTCCAGCTTCTCTACCCTGTGTTGTAATGGAAGAGCTCTTGGCAGCTAAAAGTCTGAAACAGTGGATGCCAGAGGTCACTTTTTCACAAAACAGTGGGGGGGGGAGAGAGAAAGAGCAAACACAGAAAATCAACAAAATCAAATCACAAATTTTGAGGAACATGAAAAAAGCCAAAATGTCAACCTACTATTCATTGTGTGGGGAAAAAAACATTTTAATTGCATAAATGAAGATATTTAACCAACAGTGACGATCTGCTGGGAAATAGAGGGTTCATTCCCGACCACTTCATTCGTCTTGAGAATGACATTATCGCCATCTAGCTGTCGACTATATAACCTAGTTACACTGTAAACCTACATGATTTTTGAAGTTACTGAGTAAAGTGCTGAAAAACAAAATTAAATTAGTCTTCTATTAAAACTACCACTACTCAGTCGTGCAATGGCTCTTTGGATATTTACCTTTTTGGGGTCATCATAAAACACTCCGATACTTGAAAGCTTTGGTCCAATATTATGAAATTTCTTAAAAAGTTGTCCGCAGTTTTTGTACGGTCCTTGTTTGAATTTGTAGGCGAATGTAATCTTCTTTATGGGAGGAGAGCCAGTTAGCACGGTGATGTCTGAGAGGAGTCCCGAGTAAAAAATGTAACCAGCTACACTTAAAAGACTTAACAGACTAATGACCACGCACAGAGTGACCCAGTCTGGCATGATAGCTTATTTAAAGATAACTGGAGGAGCAAGTAGCCTACCGTAATTTTGCTGCTTCAGAACACTAAACACAGTTTTTTTTTCTGTAACAGGCTAGCACTTTATATATAATGTTTTGTTGTTTTCGGTTGACAACTGTCCTTGGCTGAATTTAGATTTGTTTCTCTAAACGACAAAAAACAGCGTTGCAGAGACTTCCTGGAAAGTACCATCTATGCCGAACAAATGGGTGATTTTTTTTATTACAATTTCATTACAAAAACTTGTAACACTCCTACAAATAAATGTGTCCGTGTCAAACACATTTTTATAACTCCGATTTATTGGTATTGCTGTTATACACTTTATTATATGTATGTGTATACAGTCAATATTCGCAACAGTAACTTGGCAAGTTCCAACCTCTGTACCAGGTGGACCAACATTATTTTGATGCCCCTTAATAACACGTAAACTAATCATGTTTGTAAAAATTTTTTTAAACAAAAGTTAAAATATTTAATCCTGAGAATTTTTTGTAATCAAATCTTTGTTACAATACAAAATAAATCTATTAAAATTGTTTTTTTAAATAGCCTAATAAAGTCGCAATTCTGCCTTAAGGATCGTTTTATAGGCCCCGCCCCCTGAACACAGTGAAGGCTGGACTTATAAGTTGTTGACATTGAACTGCCTGTTACATGACAGGTTTTTGGTTCAATACATCCAGACGTGAGAAGAATGGCTGGTAATGTGAAAAGGTTTTACGAGTTCACAGCTAAATTGCTGTCTGGAGAAATGTTCAGTTTCTCCGCACTGAAGGGCAAAGCTGTCCTCATTGAGAATGTGTCGTCTCTTTGAGGAACAACAACAAGGGATTACACTCAGATGAACGACCTTCACTCTCGTTATTCCACCAAAGGCCTCGTTATTCTGGGTGTTCCCTGCAATCAGTTTGGACATCAGGTAAGCCATGTGTAAACTCAATGGCTGATATACGTGGTTTCCCCTTGGGATAAACTAAATTATTATATATGTACAGGACTCTAAAGCAGCTCAAATGTATGCCTGTTTGTCATCCTTGATCATTAGACCATAATAAATCATAAGGGTACGCCATTAAATTTGGGTTTTGAAGGACACCCATATTAAATTACACATTAGGCTTAAGTATAAACTTTGTTCAGTGATGGAAGAAGTATCAAATCAAATTTTATTTGTATAGCGCCAAATCACAACAAAAGTCATCTCAGGACACTTTACAAAGTAAGGTCTAGACCTTACTGTTATCAATATTATTACATAGGGAAAACCCAACAAATCCCCCTTGAGCAAGCACTTGGCGACAGTGGGGAGGAAAAACTCCCTTTAACGGAAGAAACCTCCGACAGACCCTGGCTCTTGGTGGGCGGGAGAGAGAGAGAAGACACACTACGTGAGACAGGAGACACAAAGTTAGTAATGTGTAATGGTGGCATATAGAAGCATAGGAAGAGAGAGGAGAGGAAAGCAGGAGGGGAGGGGAGAGAAACTCAGAGCATCATGGGGCCCCCCAGCAGCCTAGGCCTATAGCAGCATAACTAAGGGAAGGCTCAGGGTCACCTGATCCAGCCCTAACTATAAGCTTTATCAAAAAGGAATGTCTTAAGTCTAATCTTAAAGGTAGAGAGGGTGTCCGCCTCCCGAACTGAGACTGGGAGTTGGCCATCAGTGTTATTATTACTGTGTATTAATGTAACATTTTACTGTTGTAGCAAATGGAAGTAGAACAAAATTTTAAATATAGGCTTCTTTATCTAGCCCAGTGTTGTGTAGTAGTACCAACAATCTGGATGTGCATTATAATCAGTAACTGCACTCATAAATGTAGGCAGTAAAGAGTACATTTCCCTCTGAAATATTGAAGTAATACTAATAAATGCAAGTATCACTGTCTTCATTTTATAAGTTTTAATGCAAACATCCAGCATCTTTTAATCAACTTGATAGCTATATATACTCTATAATGGATGTAATGTCTGTTTTGTATAACAGGAGAACTCCATGAATGATGAAATCCTAAGATCTCTGAAGTATGTCCGCCCAGGGAATGGCTTTGAACCAAAATTCCAGCTCCTAGAGAAGGTGAATGTGAATGGAAAAGATGCCCATCCCTTGTTTGTGTTTCTGAAGGAAAAGCTTCCATTTCCCAGTGATGATGCCACTGCCCTCATGAATGATCCAAAGTTCATCATTTGGAGCCCAGTGTGTAGAAATGATATCTCCTGGAACTTTGAGAAGTTCCTGGTCACTCCTGATGGGGAGCCGTACAAGCGCTACAGCAGAAATTTCCTCACCATTGACATTGAAGCGGATATTCAAGAGCTACTCAAAAAGATCAAGTAAAGTGTGCTACAACAGTCTTGATAGTTGTAAAGCCTATCGGTTATGACCACCCTGGCAAAAAAAAAAAGATTAACCAGTAGTCACACAAATGTTGTGGGTATTTTATCATGATTTCCACCTTCACAGAAGCCTCTAAGTGCAGCACTCCTAAACTTGTGATATTTAGCATACACTATGGTTGCTCAGATTACCCAATGAAGAGACTCCTTGAAAACTTTTGAGGGGAGTGTCTGATGAAGATGTAAATACTGACTTAGCCACTGTGTATAACTCATATCACAAATATCTATGTGTTGGGCTTAAGGGGAGAAATAAACACTTTATGTCACACATCCTGCCACTGTCATTTGTCTAAAATTCAACACAAGTAGCCTATCTGGAAAACTTTTCCATTGACATATTATTTGTTGTGTATTATTTTTATGTAAACAACATTTTGCAGTCACTACGACAGCTTGGATCAGTCAATGGTCTCAACTAACATCAAATCAGGAAGTTATTTAGACAAGACATTGAGTGTTAAACACACATAAACTTTGATGGCTGCTGAGCACCAGTCCAAAATGGTTTCAATTAGCTGAACAAATGTTTAATTCCTCTAAAATTACGTTACCCTAACATGATGCTGCATCACAGTAAAATGCCATATGTATAACATAAAACGGGTTTGTTGTTTGAATCAAATGTTAAACACAGCAAATTGAAAAATAAAACAGAAACATTCTCATCTGTGCTTCCTGGATGCACGCAGTGGGAAATCCTTGATTGAATGTTACGCCTAGCTGCGACTTATCCAACATGGCTGGCCAGGAAGATCCAGTGCAAAGAGAGATTCACCAAGATTGGGCGAATCGAGAGTATATAGAAGTAATTACAAGCAGCATCAAAAAAATTGCCGACTTTCTTAACTCATTTGGTAAGCTTTTAACAACCAATTTTGCGCATAAGGCCATCGCTAATGTGACTGTTTTTGTAAATGGCTAGACCCAGGTAGCCAGATGAGCTAACGCTAGCTGTTATTCTGGTGCTAGCATTAGTGTTGATGTTTTCAATGGCCACTCCCAGTTAGCAATTAGCTTTATAGTTAGTTGCAAGCTTGTTGTTTCCACAAACACCAAGACAGTTTGGTGTTAAGTGACCTTACATTGTGTTGGTTAACTAATGTTAGGTTCTAATCAATTGTCAGACATTTAATTTAACGGGTGTTGAGACTGCTAACCTAGCCGACTAATGGCTGTTAAGCCACCGCCACTGCTAATGATAGCCTGCGTAGCTGTTAATAATATACTAACTGCAGCATAGGTAGGAATGATGTTCTCTCATCATGATTCTTAACAGTGATGGTGTTCGTCTTTGTTGGGAGAACTAACTGTTGGTACTAACAGTAAATACAAGATGAGCCCCTTAGAACAAAATGTCATTAGATGCAATTTATTACTCATCACAGATATGTCGTGCCGATCTCGTTTGGCCACGCTAAATGAGAAGCTGACAGCGTTGGAGAGGAGGATTGAATATATTGAGGCAAGAGTAAGTACACTGCGCCCTAATAATAGCAATCCACTGTGTTTTTTTATTTTTTATTTTTTGTATTTGCATATTTCAAAGTGATAATAACCATTAAATACGTTTATATATGTACCATTCCAGGTGACTAAAGGAGAGACCTTGACCTAGAACTCATCATGGAAATTCATTGCCTCCTAGTACCTGCCCTCCACACACACTGAAATTTTGGAATAAGTGAAATAGGTTCCACCCTCATTTTTTGCAACCAGTGGACCATTTTTTATTATATGACTGAGATTTTTTTTTTCATGACACATTTGTATAGAAGATATGCCTGTCTTGGGTTTCGGTATCTCAAGCATAATCGAAGTTGCAAAACAAAAATAAGCTCCATAATTGTCTTAATTATGGATCTGGTATCAGAACAATTTGTTGACCATCTGTGTTGTATACAGTATCATTATCACTTCAAAGATTTGTGAAAGGGAAATGTGCCAAGTTGAACAAGTACTTGTGTAGTCATCTTTATTAAGGACCTGCTTGTACAGTGAACTGTTTGGTGATGTTTCAGGATTTAAATACTTTAATAAATGATTAAAATGGCTTAATTTCATGTTGTAGCATGTCAGATTCAACTTTATTGACAAGCTGTATTTACACATACAAGAAGATTAAGTTTAGTTCTCAGTACACTCAAACAGATGTTTACAGGAATATACATATATAATAATCACCTTTATTTGACCAGGTATGTTACTCAAAAGGAATTTGTTTCTGGTACAGAACACCAACTCACACTGATGGCTCTAACCATCGGGGGCAACTTGGGGGTTCAGTGTCTTGCCCAAGGACACTTCTAAATGTGGACTGCAGGCACTGTGATTCGAACCCCCAACCTTCCAGCTGAGAGATAACCGCTCTACCCACTGAACCACAGTCGCCCCTGGCTGTTGTAATATCATTACAATACACTACAGGCAAACTATAAGTGAAAACAAATATGCAGTATCTGGACAGCAAACCATATAATGTATTATACAGTTCAGATTGTTATTGTTACAGGGCTGTGGTACACATAATGCAACAGTTCAAAGAAGTGGCATGAATAATAGGTTTCATTATATAGAGAGACGGATTTATATGTATATTGCAGATACTATGAATAGTGCATAGTCTGCTTCTTGTACATGGCAGTGTAAGACGTTGTGCATGCTACTGCACAACAGTATATTGCAGTGCTTTTCCCACTCCACAATCATTACAGAGCAGACAGATAATGTTAGACGATTAAAATACTCTCCATTCAGTCCACATTCGTTATGGAATGGGAAATCGAATAATGAAAAAACAGCTTCATTTTCAAGTTTTTCACATTAAAATACAAAATAAACTGTTTTCTTTTTTAAATTGAAATCGAACTTTTGAATGAGAAAAGTACAATTGTGTGGTTAATGTGGTTATTTTTGTTTTTCTGTGTTCATGTGAAAATCGTAAGGCGTGAAGTGGAATTTTTGAACGGAGAGTACACAGATTAATTGTGTATCTTGTTGCAACTAATTATTTCAAAAGAGTTATTTATACATAGTTATACTCCAAGAATGCAAGTTACCAAGCCATATACCATTCATGTAAGTGAAATGTCGGAAACGTGTAGGTTGTGATGTTTGCCCTCAGTTTAGGATTGCAGGCAGCACTTGAACCGCTACAGTATTACCTATAGATATATTTAGGTGAATCTTACATTCCAAGATTCGGGAGTAGGCAGGGCTAACTGTTTACGTGTTAGGATGAAGGTTAAATTCAGATTATGCTAGCGTTAACTTTCCCCAGAAACTGATCCTGAGGCCTGGGTTCTAGCACTAATCCACCTATTAATGTCCGGGTAGTAGCTGTAACAAACCGTGTCCCCAGTCAACCCAAGATGGGTTGTGACCTAAATCTTAATCTTCTCTAATGTCAAAAATATAACATCTTCCGCACGACCGAAGAGGACAACAACCCCGGACTACATGCTACCTGTGAGTTAAATTCAGGGCAAAACATTAAAATGCCCAGAATGCAATGGGTCATACGCCAATGCATCTTGGGACAAAGAAGGTGCCATTGTAGTGCTATAGAACGTCCTGGATCGTGAGATGAATTTTCTCGCCCATAATTTTTTTCAAATATCGTGTCGTAAAAGATAAAAATCGGCAGTGACACCTTTAATAAGCTATACAGGTGAGTGTTTGCACATTCAGATTGAAAAGACACATGTGTTACAGATTTTCCTTGGCGTTGCTGGGTTTCGTCGTCGTTTTGTATGTTTGCTAACGTTAAAGCTAGACTGGGTCCATCTTGTGGTTGTTTCGTTCATTGTAATCTAACGATATGTAATTCAACCTTCGGGGACCTGTATAATGTTCAAGATTGTTAATGACTAGAATCGCAACAGCGTGTTTATGCAACGCTGAACTCATCGTATTGTTTTGCTTTCTAGAGACTGAGTCCGGAAACAGTAACTTTAGAGGGAAATGGGAGCAGATAAAAGGTGAGTAACGTTAAGTTAAGATAGCTTTGTTGGGGTGTTGCTAACTGCAGTCACAGTGCTAATTTAACCCAAGTTTAAATACTTGCTCGTTCTAAAAGGGAGAAAGAATGTTATCCTAGTAGCATTCGCTTTCAGCCTTGCCATGGCATTTTAAGCATTCTTCCTCTTAGAGTCCTGAAGTTGTGAAAATTGTCCTAAAAATCTCCACCATGCAGAATACTACAGAATGTGTTTACTGCTAGCCTGCTTTGTCTCAATGATGGCAGTCCTACCAAAAGTCGTTATATTACAGAAAAGCAAGTTGTAATGTTGCAGCTGAGTAAGCATATCCCGCCTGGACTAAATGAAAGATTAGGCTTTACTTCATCGGCCACAAAGAATTTTGGTGTCTGGTGTGATATTTCCAATGAAAATGGTTAACTGAAAATTGGAATCAAGATTCCAATCTATACTGAATTATGTTAACACAATGAGTATAAATGTTGAAACTGATGTAGTAACAAAATACCCACACCTACAGTACGTGTTAGACCCTCTTTAGCAGAGTTAAGCATGGGCTCCTTCCATTGTTGCATGGAAGATCAGCTTCTCTCGGCCTACATCGCATAGACTGTAATATCTAGAATGCCTACAAAGGCCTCTCCTTGTCTGTATGGGTGTTCTTTTTATGGAAATATTTTTTTAAAGTTTGGATTAATATAAAATTGGCTTAGCTTTAGTAAAACATACACGGCTGATGAAACTTAAAATATAATAAAAACAATTGCACAAATGTTGACACATTTTAATTGATTGAGCATATTTGTGACTGTCTCCACAGTACTCAAGACATAAGGCATTTTTAAAGATTAAATTAATTTTTTACTGTATAGTGTCAATCAAGAGTGTGCTTGCTGATAAGTGTGTTTGATTGAGTCATTATAAAGGAATATTATGCAACTGCCGTAGTTGCACTGATGTGTTAACCTTCCTTTCAATGTCTTCCTGAATAGAATTAGTCGGACAGAGCGTAGTGGTAGATATGGCTCTGATCAGTCCCGTGATGAACCGGAATGGCGGGACAGACGAGATAGGGACCAAGAGCGTGATCACAACATGCACCGCTGGGGGGATGAGAGACGTGGTGAACGCTATGAAGATCGTAGAGGATCAAGAGACAGCACAGAGGTGTTTTTATTTATTTATTTATTTTTTGTTTCTTTTCTCTTTTTTTGCAGCCCCTGTCCCAATTTTTTGGAACATGTTGCTGGCATCTCATTAAAAAAAATGCTTTGTTGATTGATGACAGTGAGCAATGGTCGCAGAGGAGGATTGCACTCAATAACAAGAAATCACCTTACTTATTGAAGTCAATGTTTTCAGCTGGCTGGAAATATGACAACCAATAAGCCCTCTCTATGTCAGTCATATACACGATTCCCCAGCCAGTTAAAACATCTTGTCTTTTGTTAAAAAAAGTGATTTCTTGTCATTTGAATGCAATCCTCTTTTGTGATCACTGGTCAGTATAATTGGTATAACATACCAATTCTTCCTAGTGCAGTGGAAAAGAGTTTGTTTTGATTGAAGACATCTGCATTTAATTGATGCATGGATATGTTTGTTTTAAAGCCAAGAGAGAGAAAAAGACGAAACAGTGATAGATCAGAAGATGGTTATCACTCTGATGGCGACTACCTAGAGCAGGATTACAGAAGGGAGCCTGGCGAGGAGAAGAAGAGTAAAACCATCATGCTCTGGGGTCTGTCTCCTCAGGCCACCGAGGATGATGTAAGTCTTTATTTTGGTTCTGCAGATATGCAATCTTTTGTGTTTGGTTAGGATTTGTGTGTGCACCACATCTTGATATTAAAGTATTGTCTGAATGTTGTTGTTTAGATCCGTTTTGCCATAGACCAACTGGAGGGACCCCAGCCGGTGGATGTCAGACTGATGAAAAAGAAGACAGGTGAGAACCAGAAGTATGGCGGACCCTGATTTCCCCCCACCCCTCAGTATTTGGCTGATCTGCTTTCATTCAGACCCATTTTCCCATAGAAGCTAGGAGATAATTGTATCAGGTTACTTGGAAAGGATTTTGAAATGTTGATTTAAGACTTGTCATTTCAGTTCATTGTGGATCTTAAGGTAAGTAACATTAGCAATAATAGTTTTTGAGAAAGTCGTTTGGTGCGCACACCTTTTTGTTGAGTGTAATTCAAACAGTGGTAATCATCAAGATTTCTTACTATGGTAATACTCCTAAGGAGTGGTCCACTGTGTACCAGGGCCTGGGTCATGAAGCAGTTTGTGGAAGAGTTTGAATAATATGCCCATGGACTCTTAACTAACACGCCTCCCGTCTATATTTGAATGCTGTCTCTAGGTATAAGCCGTGGTTTCGCCTTCGTGGACTTTTATCACTTGCAAGATGCTACCCGATGGATGGAGACCAATCAGGTTGCTTCACAATCGCCAAGTCTAGTGTTAATCTTGGGGATCTGGAAAATAACTGAAAGGCAACCAAAGTACACTGAATCAGTAGTGTGAAAACTGTATAGATTAAAAAAAAAAACCCTCATGTACTGTATGTTTGTCACTTAATCTTAAGGAATCTACATTTTAAGATAATGGGTACATTATCTTTACCCTGAGTAAAGTACCCTGAGCTGATATAACATAACCTCATTACTTTTTAAGTCTGTCCATCAGTTGATTGGGATTTTTCTTAATCTCTTGGTGTTTTTTTTTTTTTTTTTCTCCCCCCTCTTTCTCTTTTTAGAAGGGCAACCTCTTCTCTAACATTTTTGTGGGAATCCATACATCTTCTTAAATCAGTCAGAAATATCTGTTAGGGACACATTGTACACACTGCTCCAGCTCAGCCTGGGCACGCGGGTCCCAAACACTTAAAGAAGCTTCTTTACATCATGCTCACATATGCATCATGTGCCTGTCTTTAACACAAAGGCTATCTGTTGGGGGTCCCTCTCCCCCTTCTCTCCCTTCCAACACTGCTTGCTCTGTTAATGAGGCTAATGCTCACCATGAACAGTCGAGTGATTTTTATCCTCCTCTTTCAGAAACGTCTGACCATCCAAGGCAAAAGCGTGGATATGCACTACAGTCACCCCAGGAACAAGTACGAAGACTGGCTCTGCAACACTGTAAGTGAATGATTTGTCCTGGTTTTATGGTTACAGTTTCCAATCAGTGCTACTACAGAACACTCAACCCTCATGTTAGGTGTTTAAATTACAATTGTTGCAGTCCTGTAAGCTTTTTTTATGATACACCTACATTTGGATAAATGGTAAAAGGTTAGATTGTATCTCAGGTAAGTGCACCAATATAGATTGCTGCCTCAGAGAACAGGCAATGTTCAGGGCTTTAGTAGGTGTATAATAAAAATGATGTGAACGGTTACTTGCAGTGTGGCCTGTACAATTTCCGGAGGAGGCTGAAGTGCTTCAGGTGTGGAGCAGCCAAAGCTGGTAAGTAGTTAAATCAACAAGAGGCCACTGACAGCAGACATCCGGGCAGCCTGACGCAGCAGTACTGGGATGTAGTGCAAAGTTTGTGTTTGTTGGAGTTGTAGAGGGCTAGAAAACCCAAATGACTGGATTCTTAGGTGTTGTCTCTGTCAGATCTAGGCGAAGTGCATAAAAGGGGAACAGCATGTATTTTTTCCTACTTACTCGACAGTGGGGTTTAAACACAACACATAATGGAGATAATGAAAGAGGTTTTTGTGATATTGTTAACACAGACTCATTTTAGTGTCTGTTTTTGACACTTAGCACTTGCCCCCCCCCCCCCGCCCCCCACCCGTCTTTGTTCTGGTTATGCTAATGTACCTCTTGCTTCTCTGTCATTCTGTCAACAGAAAGTGAAACTAGCAATAATACTGGAGTCTCTGAAACTCAACCGAGTGGAGATTTCTATGGCGACAGTAAGTACCTGTATTTTCTAGATGTATGTTTGAATGAACAATTTCCCTATTCTTGGTAGTTTTTCTTAAGTATAGACTTTTGTTTTATACAGCAATCATCCTGCGGAATATTGCTCCCCTGACCACAGTGGAAGCCATCTTGACAGCTCTGGCACCATATGCTAATCTTTCATCTAACAACATTCGTCTCATCAAAGACAAGCAGACGGGCCAGAACAGAGGCTTTGCCTTTGTACAACTGTCATCTCCTTTGGTAAAGCTTTCTTTAATTTCTGCAAATGACAGTTGTTATTCTGAGTTCAAATGTAATGCTACGACAAACAACCATTATCAGTGTTTTCCATTTGGTTTTCGATACGACTCTTTACTTGACTTCACATTTTCTTTTTGATTAGCTCCCCACCTTACTGTTGTCTGAATATCACTCCTTTTTCACAGGAGGCCTCTCAGCTGCTAACCATCCTACAGGGACTACAGCCTCCTCTAAGACTAGATGGGAAGACAATTGGGGTGGATTATGCTAAGAGTGCTAGAAAGTGAGTATAACTGTAGTGTGTGTGTGTGTGTGTGTGTGTGTGTGTGTGTGTGTTTCCACAAATTTAAACAATAAAGAGGGGGTGGGGGTCAGCTACTCTTACAGGTGGGTATAAACTTGTTTGCAATTTTTGCCATATGCCTACTATAGGGACCTTTTACTACCTGATGGAAATCGGGTCAGTGCCTTCTCTGTGGCCAGCACAGCCATTGCTGCAGCTCAGTGGTCCTCAACTCAGGTAGGCCCATGTTCTCTCATCATGTCATTTATCACCTCCCCCTATCAGTACCACAGAATCATCATGCATACTTGCCATTTTAGCCACAGCAGAGCTCAGAGGGAATGTTGGAGTACAGCTACCTACAAGAAGGCTACACTCCAGTGGCTCAGGTTAGTAGAAGGAAAAAAGAAACCACTCTAACAAGCAGGTAATTTCTGATGTTTCATTTTGTTTGCATTAAATGTGTATTTAGTGAAACATGGCTCTGTATTGACATCTAGTGGCAGCTGTAGGAGACTACAGAATGAATAAAAACTTGATAAATGTCATGTCAGTACTGACTATTTTATCACTTTAGAAACAAGACACAAGGTTGTACCTGCATAGCATAACATTTCAAAAATCAAGCCACATTGGCCAAGTATCTGCATCTCATTTGGATACAAATTTAGGTGAGGTATTTTCACTCCTGTTATGCTCAAACAATCTTTGTATGAATTGCTTTTTTTTTTCCCCATTAGGACTACCAGACGTACTACCAGCAAACAGCGGGGGCCAGCGCCTCTCAGGGAAATGGGATTCTAGGAGGTACGAGATGCTGTCAAGCCTTCTCAATTTTGGCACAGTTAACTGACTGTTCACTCTATATCACAATAATATTGGGGGAAAATGGTTAATAGTAGTGTTTAGTGAAATCCTTCCAGTGCATTTTTTTGTGTGTGTGATGATGCACAGCGGAGATTAGATTTGCTCAGTGTGAGGCTGTAGGAATAACAAGCATTAGTAAAGTAGATCAGCCCCGCTTTTAGAAGGAACCAGCACAAAGATATCTGCAAAATTCTGAACAATATAATAATTTAACACTGGAAAACTGTCACA